CATCTTTAAACTGAAATTCACTAAAATCCATAAAGCTTTCACCAAATTAATTAGTCATATTGAACTGCTGAGTGTATAAAATTCATCTTTTGAAATCCACTGATGGCTGATACTGATTCATTGTGATAACAGTTGTGCAGTGAGTTTGTCAAGGCATAATACATCAATATCAATATTCTGCCAGTGTACTAGTAGACTATGTGGGATTTGAAGTTTTCATGGCGGCGAGTCTGAAGATTGCTGTCTTCTGGATTGTTGTACTGTGTAATCTGGTAGATGTCCAATATTTCAGAGGTCCATGCTGCCTCCATCATCACGGCGATGAATAAGCCATGTGAGCGGAAAGCGCTAGATTTATAGGAACAGGACATAGAGAGAGGTCCGAAAGACAGCCCTTTTGAGGGCCTCAGGGAGTCCATCTGGTGGGACACACAGGAGTTGGGTGATCAAGATGCGGGGGGAAGCAGGAGAGTGGAAGGGAGCACTTGGTGGGGACAGATTGCCATGCTCTCTGGGATGCTTCCAGAGCCTTAGGAGGGAGTGACTGAGAGGCTTCCATGACCGGCTCAGGCGAAGTTCATCCTCCCTGTTGACAATGTTGGGATGCAATTCAATTTTGATGGCCTCCCTGATCATCCGATCCATGTATCCAGATCTTGTCGACAGGATAGAGGTGTCCTGGAGTTGGATGCGGAGGCATGGATTGTATTTGTTTCTGTGTCAGTTGAAGGTGTTTTGCACACACGTCAAAATGATATGCGAGTAGGTTCAATAGCTTTCACTACAAAAGCCTTAGATTTAGAAGCAGTTTTCTTATCTTCCACAAGATTATGATCCGTTGTTTTTGGACTATGGCATATGAAAGCCCATACACTGCTCAAAGTATGAAGGATGCTGTATGACTGATGAAAAATGAAGGCTGGCAACCTTACAAAGAAAGTCATATGATACACCATGTTGCACTCTAAAGACTACAAAAGAGCAACTGGATGACCCTGCAAGTATGAACCTGAAAAACCATTTCTAATCCCTCCAAAGTAGGAAGTGGAAGCATAAGGCAGTCCTTGGACTAACCACCAATCAAGTCAGATGAACAGCCTACAATGTTGTTGAAGCTGAAGGGATAAACCATCCATTTATTAATGAAAGTCAATGGCTGGTTGGTATTGGTGGTTGAAGAGTTGAATAAAACCCCAAAGTCAACATGAAGTGCCTGCAAACAATCCATCTGCAGAAATATTTTCTCGAACTGGGCCTACACCAGCAACCTCCATCACCCTGTGATTCATGTGGTGGATTGTATTTGGACAACAATAAGAAGAATAATGCCGCCAAATGGATTCAGTGATAGTGATGGATCAATTTCACTCCATGTGTGATGGGTGCAAGGACTCAGAAGACTGAATAATTACAGCACGTCCACAAAAGTGGCGGCAATGTCGATTTTGAAATTACGCTAAACTAAACAACAATACGGGGTCACAGGCCAATCTCTTTTTTTAAACCAGGCCACATTTCTTCGCATTCACTACCAAGACTCCTCAAGAACGCAATTAAAATTTGTTCCGAAGAATTTACCTAATGACAGAATCCCCCCCGGTTGTGGATTGTATTAGGACAACAATAAGAATAAGAATGCTGTCAAATGGATTCAGTGATAGTGATGGATCAGTTTCACTTCATGTGTGATGGGTGCGAGGACTCAGAAGACTGAATAATTACAGCACGTCCACAAAAGTGGCGGCAATGTCGATTTTGAAATTACGCTAAACTAAACAACAATACGGGGTCACAGGCCAATCTCTTTTTTTAAACCAGGCCACATTTCTTCGCATTCACTACCAAGACTCCTCAAGAACGCAATTAAAATTTGTTCCGAAGAATTTACCTAATGACAGAATTGTTTATATGTCACAGACTTACATAAACATCACCAAGTTCCCTAACTTTTAAAACTTGTTTTAAATTTATTAATTAAAACAAGTAAATTCTGCCATCAATATAAATAAGTTGATGTAAAATTATCACTCTTTATCTGACTCTAAAGCCAAAAGTATATTAATAAATTTGAGAAGATTGTCGATAAGTATTAGGATAAAAAGTAACCTGAACTTCGATTTAAGTTACTCCCAGCGGTGAGTCCAATGATGGCTGTCTTCTGAGTTGAAGCACCGTGTAGTCTGGTAGATGTTTTCTAGTGTTTCATAGGTCCTTGCTGCCTCCATCACCACGGCGATGAGTTACATGGTGCTAAACTCAGAAGACAGCCAACTTATAACTTCAAATTACCCCACGTTTCCCCAGCCCTTGGTAACAGGCCATAGTGCAGTGAAAAAGACTTTCAACTGCAACAAACTTTTGAGAATGCCTGTACCTGAAACTGTTGCCACAGTAGTCCGTACTCTCAAGACACTTCCTCAGCAACTACTTGCAAGTTTCTTTATTCCTCTGAAACAGAAAATATCCAGAAATGTTGGCTGGTGCCCCGGACCAGACTGGTGATCACCGCGCCCCCAGACTTCGACAATCGCAAAGTTCCATGGCTACACCACTTCTTCTCAGAAACAGCGCTGCTGGGAGGCTGAAACAAGAACAAAATCTGCGGGACACGAGGCTTATGCCTCACCGCTGCATTTGCTTATGTTAGTGTGATCTAAGGAAATTTAATTTCTGTCTGTTGTAACTAGAAAATTAGGAAACAGTGTGATCAACAATATCGACAAAGTAGGAATCAGTCCTATGGTTTTGGTGAGTTGCAACTCTCGTACTTGGTACAACTCATGGTACCTATCGGCCAACTTCAGAGGCACGTCTGAGAATATCCAAATCTAATTTTGGTTCCCAATGCATGGGCATCCACCGAAAAAAGTTGTGAGCACATGAAGACCATGAAGGAAAGAAAATCTGCAATCAGTGGAGAATGTGTAGTGTCCAATCCATTTGTGTACAGGACTGGAAAGTGTACACAATTACATGCTAATGCAATAATAGTGAAAGTATGGAAGTGGCTTAAAGTGGCGGCCACTATGTTACAAGTAATAAATGACGTGGAAAATGAATTCTGTTTCCTGTAAAGGCGATTATTTCCGCAGAAAGACTTTCAGGGAGGGGCAGTGCGTCCATAAGGGTTACTCATATCACGAATTGCTAATTCATATTTTTTTAAACAAGTCCAATTGAGGTGTAATTTCGCGTTCTACATAATGGATAATGTGCGGTCCAAAAGTTCCCGGACTGAATTTTTTATCGCTTTTCTACCATCGCCATCTTCCGGACCGAGGTTGAACTACGTAGTAGAGACCCTTTCTGACAAGGGTGCAAAGTGGCGTTAGTGTAGGGTTGTCTCGTACGAGCAATTCTTGTTGCGCAGTGTCAAGGTCGTGAGATGGGCGCGAAGGAGGAACGTGTGGCGAATAATTTTGCTGTAAAGCCAATATTTCGGCTTCAAAGACTGTGGAGCTGATTCAGAAG